GATCTCTCTCTCCTGTATTGATCGCTCAGGCCGGCCCCTTTGCTGAAGAACGCGTTGTTGTCGGAGTCGAAGGCCCGTGAGCTCTACATGCAGGTTCTCCAGCACATGAGGAAGATGTTTCAGGAGGCTCGACTGGTCCACGCTGACCTCAGCGAATTTAACATGCTGTAAGAGGCCACGCCCACCAACAGGACACGCCCACCACAAACATCCCTTCAAAATAAAAATCTGTGTTTTACTAACCTATGTGTAGATTTCACAACGGAGATGCTTACATAATCGACGTGTCCCAGTCAGTGGAGCACGACCATCCTCATGCTCTGGAGTTCCTCAGGAAGGACTGCAGCAATGTCAACGGTCAGTTCCTGTTTAGGACTCGCAACATACATAGAGTCCCGCCCTGAACACACATGCCAATATTCAGTCATACTCATAGCGCCACCTACTGAGAACAGGAAGTGTCAGGCGTTACACTTTGATGTGCTTCTCCTACCAGGTTGCTCGGATCTACCTCAGAAAGCCTTCAGACTTTGATGATACTGTACTGTGGAATTTGTTGCTTTCATTGGACAGTGTGTCCGTCACGTGGCGTCAAATCTTGATCCACCACTATGTAACAGGAAGTTGTTAGTATAAGGGTTGCCTTATATGGCAGTCGTACTTTGATTTAAACCACATTCTCACTGAGTTTTGTGTTTGATGGAGGACTCACTGCAGAAGAGTTGTATGTCCCCAATCAATAACTAATCTGTCAATCAGCTCTGTGATAAGAAGAATAATTTATGTCTGATTTGAAATGTTCTCCTGTATGAATGAAGTCTGTCTGATTTTTACCCAGAGTTCTTTGTAAAGCGTGGTGTGGCAGTGATGACGGTCAGAGAGCTGTTTGACTTCATCACCGACCCGTCGATCACCTGCCACAACATGGACCAGTACCTGGAGAAGGTCTGAGTGCCTCCTGTTGTTTATTAATTTAATTATTAATTCTTTACTGACACTGTCTGTGATTGGTCGTCCAGGTGATGGTGATCGCAGCTGAGAGGACGTCAGAGCAGCGAACAGATCAGGACAGAGTAGACGAGGAGGTGAGACATAATCCTGTTGAGCCACGACGCAACCGTTTGACCTCCTTTAACTGTCATTGCCCCCCCCCCCAGGTGTTTAAGAAGGCCTATATCCCTCGCACTCTGACAGAGGTCAGCCACTACGAGCGAGACATCGACCTGATGAAGTTGAAGGAAGAGGAGTCAGCCATCAGCGGACATAACGACAACGTAAGAGACACAATAGAGACAGTAGAGACAGTAAACACAGTAGAGACACAGTAGAGAGACAGTAGAGAGACAGTACAGAGACAGTAGAGACAGCTGTAATCTGTCTTTAATGGTTGTTGAGCAGTGAAACAGGAGAAATCAGCTGTTACCTGTAACTGTACTGATTGTTGTTGTTGTTGTTGTTGTTCAGGTTCTGTATCAGACGCTGAGTGGACTGAAGAAGGATCTGTCTGGAGTTCAAATGGTACGATCATCTCACGCTCTGATTCTTGTTTTATCTTAACTTAGCTTAGCTTGGCAACATATTCTAAATTCTCAAATATTAGCTTCCATACCGTTTTCCAGCTGAACACACAATAAGACAATATATTGCTTGTTAATCAGTACATCAAATTATAACTTGACATGTCCTCAGGTTCCTGCTCTCCTGGAGGATGACCAGTCTTCATCAGAGGAGGAGGAGGAGGAGGAGGAGGAGGACGACGACGACAATCAGCAGGAGCACAATCAGCAGGAGCAGAGTGAGGATGTTTCCATGGACAAAAAGGTATGATGAAGAGTCTTCACTCTTTATTATTATTGTTATGATTATTACTATTATTGGTAATTGATTATGATGACTATTATTCATAAATCACTATCATTATTATTATTATTCAATCATTATTATTATTATTATTATTATTATTATTATTATTATTATTATTGGCTCGTGCAGGAGAAGAAGAAGATCGTCAAAGAAGCTCAGAGAGAAAAAAGAAAAAACAAAGTCCCGAAACACATGAAGAAGAGGAAAGAGAAAGTGTCCAAGATGAAGAAAGGAAGATGATTCCTGTTTGTCAGTGTGGACTTCATGTTTGTCATGATGCCGTTAATCTTCTGTAAACATGAAAACCAGACTGAGCACAGGGACCTGAAGTGCTTCTGTTTCTGTTAGTGGCGGCTGTCATCCAATCCCAGCTGTCAACCAATCACAGCTCGTCTTTTACAGATGTTTGAAACAGAAGTTAACCCTTTCTGGATGAAACAAAACAAAACCTTCAGACGACAGAAACATCAGATCAAGAAGGTTCTACTGACGTTCTACTGACATTCTACTGACGTTCTACTGACGTCCCCTGTATTGACAGTTGTAAGAAGATCAGTGAGATTATAGAAAACATGAGAAATAAAACATTAAATCACCTTTTATATCACCGGCTCGTCTTTTTCTTTAGCTGATCAATTGTTAGTATTAGTTTTCATGAATGTTAGCTAGTCTACAAGCTAACGTTAGCTGATGGCTGTACTGTAGCAGCAAGAAGTCAGGTCACTTCAGCAGTAACTGAGACGTCAGGTGTAACTTCAGGTACTCGTTCTACAAAAGGTGGATCAGTTTTACCTGCCTTATGTTTTTTTTTTTTAAGTACTTTTTGGGGCTTTTATTGCCTTTATGATAGTGACAGATTAAGATAGACAGGAAAAGGGGGGCAGAGAGAGGGGATGACACACAGCAAAGGGCCGCAGTTCAGATT